AAAAAATCTGGATAAGGGTCCCTTTGAGTTTGTCACTGAATAATAAAATTGCATACATTTGTTGAAATTCTGTGAGTTTGAGAAAATTATTAAAGGGATATGTAAGTGGAACAATTCCCAAAGTTCCCAAATGACTAAAAGAAATTTTGCATTTAGTTTAGTACTAGGACTAGTTAGACCTAGAGTAAAAGTTCCTTTAGCCTTGCCATAGTGAAGCTCAAAACAAGACTTAAACATTCCAGATGATCCATATGTAACTTACTACCAGCCAAAAGGCACTTTGACATTCTTTAAAAGAAGACAATACAGAATGGCCATCATCCAGACATCCAAGAACAATAAATGCCAGAGAGAGTGTAGAGAAAAGGGAACCCTCCTACACTGTTGGTGAGAATGTAGTTTGGTACAGCCATTATGGAAAACAGTATGGAGATTTCTCAAAAAACTGAAAATAGACTTACCATATGATCCAGCAATCCCACTTCTGGGTATGTATCCAGAGGGAACACTTTTAAGTTGAAAAGACACATGTACCCCAATGTTCATAGCAGTACTATATACAATAGCCAAGACATGGAAGCAACCTAAATGTCTGTCAACAGATGACTGGCTAAAGAAGTTGTGGTATATTTATACAATGGAATACTACTCTGCCATTAAAAAATAAAATAATGCCATTTGCAGCAATATGGATGGACCTAGAGATCATCATTCTAAGTGAAGTAAGCCAGAAGAAGAAAGAAAAATACTGTATGATATCACTCATGTGTGGTATGTTAAAAAAAAAAGTGAGGAGGTACACACTATGAACTCATCTACAAAACAGAAACAGACTTGCAGACTTAGTAAACAATCTTATGGTTACTGGGTAAAGGGAGTGGGAGGGAATAAATTTGGGAGTTTGAGATTTACAAATGTTAGTCACTATATATAAAAATAGATTTTTTTTAAGTTTCCTTTTTTTTAAAGTTGCAATTGGGGGTTGTTATTAATTTTTAAAAATCAGTTAACATTTAAAATACAGTTAGAATTATACACATCCATATATATATATATATACATTCTTTTTATATAAAAGACTATAGATAGACTAAAACATGGTAAAACTCAAAAAAGGAGATGAACCCCATCACCTTATCTTTTATAAACATTCTACTCTCCAAAGAATAACTGACAGATCACTGGCTGAAAGGAGCATTTAAGCCAATTCATATTCTCCCCTCTCTGCCTCCCTGTCTGTCTCTCTGGCCATATACCTAATAATAAGCTGCCTTGACCAAAGCTTTTGTCTATAACACAAATGATTATACAGCAAAACAAATACCAGTTTCCTAATGTTTATATGAATAAATGAAAACTTTACATATTATATCAATTTGAATTTCATTATCTGTCATTTACATTAGAACTTAAAATCCATACTTGAAATACAGTAGGTCAAAGGTAAGTAGCATTCCAGTTCTTGAGTGAAGTATAGTTCCAGTAGTCCTATGAGATTAAGCCAAAAAATACATCATAGATACCTTTTGCATGATTTCTCCTCTGTACCTGGAAATAATAATGAAACTTATAACTGAATTGAGATAATGAGGCAGAGGAAGGAATCAGGAAAGAAGATAATTCTGGTTACTCTCACTCTTACTCTCATCCCTCTATAGAAATGATCTTTTTTATAGACAAAGTAGGCTGTTTGAATTACTTTAATATTTCACATTATTTTAATAAATATTTTAATCATAAATATTTTGAATAGCAAACTTAATTTATCATGAGTTTTATTTTTATAAATGTATTAAAAAGTTCTAATATAGTTTTTGTACATTATTATGTTAAAATATAGATACCATGGTTATAATAATTTAAATAATTTAATCTTTAGAGAAAAATAAATTTATTGACATTCTGTATAAGAATAATTTTAATAGTAATAAATATATCATACTAGTTTGTTAAATTGGATTCATAACATTGTATTATAAATTGTAGTACTTGATACACATTTATTGTTCTTCTTGCAGATTATCCAAAGAAGATTAGGACAAAGACAATACTGCAAAAAGGTGAACATTCATTTGTGTGCTAATTAGCAGCATTTACATAAAGCACTTGGAATTTCAGTTCTTAGCTTTCTCTGATAGAGGATTCATCATAAATCCATATGATCTTTAAAATGCTGTTTTGTTTTAGTGAACATAAGGAAAAGTTAGAAATAACATACATGATACTTGGTAAGGAAGACTTCAAACATTATATTTCCTCATTCTAAAGCAGCATGATGTTTAATTAGATGAGTAACAATCGAGAGCCATGCACATGCTACCTTAACATCTCCCAAATATTTAGATGTTGCTGTTCTTAGTTCTCAGATCTCTAATCTCTTGATAATCTCAGCACTGTGTGGCTTTAGTAAATTTTATTCAATATTCCCCTCAATGGATATATGTCTTTGAGTTGTCAACAGTCTATATGCAAAAGTAGGTGGAGATATTTAATGATAGGTAATTGCTTGTCACCAGTGTTTAGTGCATGCTAGCATATTTTTTATTTTGTGATTTAAACTATTTTATTTATAGTTTTTAACTAAAAGAATTACTTTTGGTGAATATATTGTATCAGCACAAAGCTGTTACAAGAGATCAAAAAAGACACATTCCTTTTAATAAGGGTCTAGAAACTGATGTGGCCCAATTACCGTTTACAGTATTTCATTTGGATGAGAAAATACTGAAAAAGATCAAAGTACGTAACTTAGGACATGAAAGAGCTACACAATTCAAAGTGAACTTTAATTTTACTGACGTTGATTTAATTATGTGAAAAAGTTGAAAAATGCTGTGATTTACTGATAAGCTTAAGACTATTCTATTGGCCAGAATTTCAATCAAAATTTATAAAATAAATTCAGCAGCAAGGTTTGTACAAACAACATAAGTGAATGTATTTATTTACAAGTTTAAAAGTAACTTTCTATAATATTGAATTAATTTAACCAAAGTGTTCAATACTTCAATTAAATGAAGTTCTCATTCTGTAACATCAAAGAATACAGTGTATTTATAAATAGGAGGTTTTGTCCACAAGTAAAAACAGTAATGTTCAACATTTAAAATGTTGGGATTTTTTTTGAATATGTAGAATTAGGAAAAAATTATATGCAGGGAAAATCTACTGGAAAATTATGCCATATAGTTTGTATTTAATGATTCAGATTTCAGTCCTTCTTAGTGCATGAAAGTGAGAGAATAAAGCTATCAATTCTATTCACATGTGTAAAAAATGTTCAGATGCTAAAACCATTCCATAGTAAAGGCCTCTAAGCATATTGAATGAAGTTAACTTTGTGATGTGCTTCCTAGCATCAGAATCAGAACATGATAAAGACAGCAAAGATTCTTTACAACTCCTTTGGAAGAAAGTTCTGTTTAAGACAATTGCCAAGTATGCAGCCTCAAACAAAAGTTAATAGTAAAAATCACGTGTCTTGTGAAAGTTGGTTTATAGCTTGAAGTCTGCATTCTGTGTCTTAACTGAGCATTAATTTAGAGCAAGAATTGTGTATGCAGATTCAATACAAATGTTACTTTATTTATCCGAAGAATATTGAGTATGAATTTCTTAATTTGTAACCATAAGGGTTTTAAACTGTAGGCATAAGCAGAATCATTTTACAAGTAAGCAATTTCAACTCCCAAAATAAATTTATGTCCTAGAATGGGGCCTTATATAAAACAGCAACTTCTAGTTGTATAATTCCTTAATTATATTTTCAGCATAATTTGTTACTGTTTCCTGTTTGTTATATGCAATATTTATACCTACTCCCTTTTGTTAAACATAGAATTCTTATATTACCTGTTAATATGATTTAAAATGTCATAGGAAGTACATACTAAGACCAAAACAAATCAAATTAGTAATAGAATATATTTTTCTCTTTCTCATAATATAGTATTATAAAAATTTTAAGAAGTGGGTGTTTTCCTTGTCTCACATGTTAAACTTAAACACAAATTGTTACTATGGGAATAACAGTAAATTCACCTTGAGAAACAAGAGGCAGTAAACAATACACAAAATAACTTTCTAATTGGTAATTTGAAAAGTTCTAGAAAATAGATATTTTACACTATATTAAAATAGGATGTTTTATTTAATAAGGCAATTTTTTCACAGGGGATTGATTTTTCTGCAGATCTGCAACTGTTGAAGAAATCATTAACATTATTAAATACCTGCTCTTTTTATAGTAAAATACTTGTGAATATTGCTTCCCTGAGATAGATGCAAGATGCTTTAAAATGTGAAAGGATACTACGGTTTATTTTTGCTGCTATGGTGATATATAGTTGCAGGGGGAAACTGGGGAGATTGCAATTTTGCCCTAAAACTTTCAAGCCCGATATGTCTTGCAATCCTAATAACTTAAAGAGTAATTTAATGCTCTTCTTTACAAAGTAAGCATGTAAACAAGGCTTGTAATGTAGATCACAGTGGCACTTTTGCGACAGCTGTGTTTAGAGCCTGGTTTGGAGCACTATCAAAGAATGGGTATTAAACTTTTTCAAAAGCCTCTCCAATCCCTGAACATGTATTTCCTTTCTGCCTCTGCACTGTTGGAGTCATTCCAATGCCTGGAAGAAGAAAAGTAAGAGACACAGAGGTGGAGGATGTCATACCTAATACAGATATTAATTTCGGCAAAAGAATTCAGGAACTTCTAAGTATAGCCATGAAAGCTTCCATACCCTTCAAAGCTGCTTCTGCGACTAAAAAAAAATTGAAACTATTTTTAATGAAGAACACATTACACTCATTGTGTAATGGAACTGCACACCTGAAAAATGTGAAATATTTGTAGATCTTTCCTAAATGACAATGTACGTAATCTTAATAAAAATAATTAAACCAAAATTTTGTACTTCCAAACCAAGGGTAAATAATCCAATATCTTTTATTCTCTCAATTCATTAAAGAGTTGATAGTTAAAGCCCAATTAATTTATTATGAAAAATTTAGAACTTGAAATTCCAATAGACACAATGTATGACAATAGTTACATCTTCCTTATTCTAAATGTCACAGTAGATATAGTAATATTAGTATTATATAGCTGTGGATAAAGTTATATTTTTATCATTTATCTTTAAATTTCATATTTACTCCTTAAATAACTTCAACTTAACCAGTTAATTATATGTTTAATTAACATAAATAAATTATTCACAAAAAGGAATATTGCTTTTTGACATTTTTATCATTTCTAGAAAAGCCAGATTTCTGCTTTTTGGAAGAAGATGCTGGAATCTGTCGAGGTTATATTACTAGGTATTTTTATAACAATCAGTCAAAGCAGTGTGAACGCTTCAAATATGGCGGGTGCCTCGGCAATTTAAACAACTTTGAATCACTGGAAGAATGCAAGAACACCTGCGGGGATGAATGTATGTTTATTCTCATCTTACTTTACTTTATTTTGTAGGTGTCCTTTTAAAAATAAGGCATCTAGGAGGATGTTCAGATTTACCCAGATTTTGTTTCAGCCATGCAAATGAGCTATTTGTATTCACTTTAAAGCTGACAGAAGTTAGTCACTATGTTAATTATTTTTAAGAAACAGAGAATTAAGAAATTTATAGCAGAAATTATTTCCATAGGCTTGATTGTTTTTTAAGTTACATTATTTAATTTTCTTTCCTAAGAATACTGTGGTACAATTTAGGCACAAGAGTAGGACTGCTGAAATCCCTTAGGGTTATTACAATTTGAGGGCAAATGGTTCTTTGGAACCTACCATCTAAAATGAGTCAGTTTTATCTGACCGTAAATTTGATTTAAGGAGTGACTTTGACATTAACTGTTACCTTTTTTTTAAACCAAGAACCACAAAGTTATTCATGGAAACATTGTCTTATAAAGATATATATATATATATATATATATAAAATTTATATACATACATACACATATATATGTATATAAGGATGCACTGTTCACTAATTTAACATAGCAACGTGAATAAAGTTTCTAGACATCTACTTTTCTTAACACAACTTCTGTGCTTTGCTTTATGTGTCCAATTATGAGTTTGTGACAGTGTCTTGTATTTTAATTGGCTGTATTTTGTCCCAGTGAATGATTTCCAGGTGGATGATTATAGAACCCCGCTCGATGCTGTGAAGAACGATTCCTTGACTCCTCAGCCTACCAAGGCATCCAGCTTCTTCGGTAAGCCCATTTTATTTTAATTGTTGCCAGGAAAACATTATCATAGTAACAGTAGAAGTAGAACGTGTATTAGAGCTATGCTTTCTAAAAAATTATACCTCTTTTGTTATTTAATAATAGGTATGTTGAAATACTGAGATTCAAAATTGCTTAAGACCTTTAATCCCATAAAAGTGATAATGTTCCTCATCTATTTTAAAGTATGTTGTGAAGTATGCTTTTATTACATATCGCATGAAAACTTTTATATGAAGTTTAACTCTAGGCCAAACTTATCTTGTAAAATAATGCCAGGAATTATCAGCCTCAATGTCTAATGGTAAACCATTGTAATGGCAGCACTGTGTCAAAGGCAGTATAAAATGCTCTTAAATTGAGCACAGCATTGGGCAACGTCTCTGGTGTTAGTCACAGGACATATTAGGAATTTGTTGACTAACCATCCGAGAGGTTGTGTCACTCTGAGGGCATTTTCTTTTAGATGTATGCAGAACTCTTGTCTGGATACTACCCTGTCAATATATTTATCGAATTTGAACAAACATGCAGTAAATATGCCCACAAAAGTGCAGAGCTGTGAAAATACTGGAAAACATAACCAGATACCACAAATATCTCGGCAATTAGAAACAACCTAAAAAGCTGAAATTTATTGGGATAAACGCAGGTCCTTTCTAAATTTAAAAAATCACACATGCTCATTCAGAAATTGGGGATTTTGCTTAGAATTTAGTGTAAAAATGTTAAATGTAAATTTGGCATGAATTCAAAGAGTTCTGTGGCTATTAAAATTACAGCCTTAGGGTAAAAAGGGACATAGTGTCCAGGAGAAGGGTTCTCCACCCTGTCCCTGTATCAGAATCAGATGGATCTCGGAATCAGAATGTCTTTAAGCAACTCTCTTTACAACAAACAAGCAAACAAAGCAAGCAGGCAAACAGAAAGCAAACAAAATTTCTACCAAGATGGATTTAAAGCACTGCAAATGTTGACTGTGATTTTTCTAGAATGAGGAATAGAGTCCCATATTGATCTGGTGGAACTTGCTTCAGCCCTGAATGCAGTATCTTAGAGGTCACAAAGAGAACTGGAAACATGTTTCCAGAAGGACTGGAAAGTGTAAGGGGATGTGAGATCTAAGAGGGAACATTATACATGCTCTCAGTACCTGAAACACTATCTGTGAAAGAATTACATTTTGTACATACCTCATTCTCAGTCCTCTCCATTTCAATCTTCCCTGTCCACATCCCTTTCCCTCCCTGCACCCCGTTTCTTACCGCCCTTAACCCAGCCTGAGAATCAGGGTAAATGCATGATATTTAAAGCACAAATTTCTTTCTGTAAAGTGTTTATTTTTAACGTGAGGTTCTGTATACATCAGAAATGAATGGATGCCTCAGGGATTAAATTCCCTAAGCTGTAGGCTTTCGAGCAGTGTTCCAATAGCACTTGAGATGTCATAGAGGTTATGCAAAATTTCAGAGGACTTGGACAATATGATACAGTCAGCATGCCTTCAAGTCCTTAGATTCTAAGCTGTGAATTCAGTGCCAGATGAATTTAAGTCTAATTTTTAAATGCTACTTGGTTTGTAAAAATGATAATAAGTATTTTTGTAGTTCTGATTTTTTTTAATCTGTGAAATTAAGTAATTCCATTGCATTGTTTCTTTGCATTCCCCCAACCCTTGTCTTTCAGTAACATTTTGTTTAATCCAGTTACATATCACATGTTGAAAAGTATGCTAAATCTTATGGCTTGGAAAGATATGAAAGTTTAGAATAACAAATTTATTAATGAATTTAAAGATACATGTGATACAAAATATCTACAAATAAATGTATAAAATCAGTTTTCAATATGTTTCAATATTTTTTGTTTGGGTTATTTTACTAGTTAAAATAGATACCTTCAGTCATTTACCAATAAAATGAGTAGAGTAGGTTAGGGGATGATTTTGCCTTAAAGTTTTATGAGGTATAAGAAGCATGATTTTTGGCAGGCACACAACCAAAATAGAAAGGGGATTAATGTGTTATATATGTGTGTGTTTTAACATAAGTAAGATTATATTTTACTTTCTTTGTTAGTATTTGAAATCTTAATTCTTATTATGAATGGCTGCACAGCAGCATACCATATTTTATTCAAAATTGTTTACAATATTAACAATGCTGCAGTGAACATTTTTAATAGGTGTAAATCTTTGAGTATTAGTGAAAATATGTACATGGGATGCATTATTCCTAGATTATAAATCAGGCTGAATATCTTATGTTTATTGGCAATTTTTATTTCTTCTATGAATTGTCTTTATATCCTTTGCTCATTGTCCCATTCGTTTACTTAATGGCATATAGTAATTCTTTATTTAAAAAATATATTTTGTTATATATACTGCAAAATTATGTATTTAATTTGTCATGAATATTTTAACTCATTTATGATGTTCTTTGTGGTATAGAAGTTTCAAATTCTTACAAGTCACATCCTTGAATCTTATCCTTTATGAATTGACAATTTTGGTGTGATACTGTGTTTTCCAAAAGACTATTTGTTTTGCAAATTCATTATCTGATATCCAATAATGTGGCTTTTGACTGAAACTGTTATTGAAAAACTGCTTCCTCCCCAGTATTTAAATTGTGTAAGACTATCCCTCTTTACAACTCTCCAAGTTTATTTTCACGTAATTTTGCTAATTACTATCCAGATTTGGTTCAGTCTACCTTAACATATCACTATATTTTAGATTTTCTTTCTGAATAAACTAGAAACACAATGGCAAAGAAAAAAAAAAGAAAGGGGAGAGGGATAAAGAACATAAGAGGAGAAAATAAATGAGTTTTAAATACTGTCTAATAAATGTCCTCTCTAATTTTTTATGTAGATGAACGCTAAAATGTATAATAGACAAAGTAATGGTGACATGAGCAAACTAACTAAAGAAGCAAATTCACAACATAAACTTAAAAGGAAACAATATTAAGAGAATTTTTATTTAAAATAATAGGCATTTAAGGGAAAATTCTTTCATAGCAACTGCATTTAAAATTAGGGCAAATGGTCTCCTTTGTCTACAGAACTATTTTATTTTTTGTTGTATACATTTGCTTCAAAATCTAAATTTCTCCAGCCATTTGACCTCTCTTCCTCTTTTTCTGGGAGCATTCTCTTCTTATTTTTTGTTTTGTAACATTCCTAATTTAAAACATGAAACAATGTCACAGTAACTTCTGTGAGAAGTTTGATGTGAAGGGTGACTTAACATGTAAAGTGTGACAGTGAAGCTTTGCCTCCACTCTTCCTAAGACCTACATGATCCCATGTCTGACCCATCCAAGATGCAGAAGATGGGAATGCAGCTGTCCCACTCCATCATCTAAGACCTAGGTGATCCCTCCTTCATCCCATCCAAGTGGCAGACTGTAGGAAGGCAATTGTGCCTCCATCCTTCCTAGACCTAGATTATCCCTCCCCCAATTCCACCAAAATCTTTGCTGAGGTCTATGAAGATACTCAACGTTCCAGCTCAAAAAGAATTACATCTGTCACTGCTTGCAATTATTATTAATACATTTTATAATACTTTAAGAAATTATTATATATATGTCTATGTATAACCTTGATGTTCAAGGTTTTAGCAAATGTGTGAGGTTCTCTGTGGATATTCGTTTCTTTTGGAAAAATGTAAATCCTTTAAGGGTTTTGATTCAGTGTACAGGAATAATAATATGCCCCACAACACAAATAGAATAGCATTCATTTAAAATTCTTTCCATTAAAAACAATCTTCAGGTATGTGAATATTCCAAAAATATAGCTAGATTAAGCTATTGTTATTAAGTGAAATGTTTGTAAATATAATTTTAATGTTTCTCCTTATGATGATAATAGAAAAACATTTGAGAAGTTTTGTTCAATGTTACCAGAAAATTATTTGGTAATTTTTTTAATTGCTATTTATTCTCAACCATAATACTGCCAATTAGCTGAGAATATATTTTTTCCAATGAACCCTCTTGACTCAAGATATTTGAATGCTTAGTAAACACAATTGAGGTTTAATTTTCCCCTTTTATTCCATATTTCAGTATTAACAGTTAATAATTCCATACTTCAATATTAATACATAGGCAAAGACTGAAACTTCATTTCCTTAAAGAGATTTTTACAAATGTTTTGTAAGCATGCCACTGTGCACAAGTGAGAGCAAATTATTTGAATTTGATTTATCATGCTGAAATATGAAGATGTCCATGTAGTTACAATAAATGTTTGTTCTCAATAAACCTGGGAGAGAAATACTTCTAATGCGGTATCTCTAAATGTGTGCAGTTCTGTGTATGATCTTCAGAATGAAAATAGCACAACTGCTTCTTCTTGACTTCCCTGCTGTGATTGGCACTGTTATATAGAAGATCAGAGAAATAACTCTGAGCCGGAAGACTAGGGCTCAAATCCCATTTCTTTCACTTACTGGCTGTGCAGCCTTAAGATACTTCTTAATCTCTCTGAACCTTCTTTTTCCAACTGCAAAATGAAGGTAATGAAAATATAGTACTTACCTTATATGTTTTCTTGTGAAGTGAAATCAGTCAATATACATAGCACACTTAAAATACTGCCTGATACCTATTCAGTGCTATATAAGTGTAACTTATCATTGTTATCCATGTAGTTTAGAGCAATACAAGTCTTAGTTCCAGGCCTTAGTTTCTCATTTATAAAACAACTCTTTGTAAACTCCCATTTTCAGGAAAAGGTGATACTTCAGCCTCTTATAAAACCTCTAATTAAGTGATTCAGTACATCTACTATAATAAAATTACAATTAACCTTTAAAAGAGAATTCACAATAGAACTGAATTAATACATATGGGGAAACAAACAGTTCAAATGTGTTTACTGGAAAGAAGTTGAGACTATTGGCAAGCAGAAGTAGCATGGGGCTTTGAAACCAAAAGAATTTTATTTGTATAATTTTTCTTTATCAT